ATGAAGAAAGATGGTCAATTTCCATGACTAGCCTTCCATTCTATTTTCTTTTCCAAGTCGAAGAATCATCTTGTGAGAATATCATCCCATATCAAGGACAGAATAGCATTCTGATGTGTACGGTACCTGCTCACAGCTAGAAATCTATTATTATATATCCATTGACTCTACAGAGGAGCCTTTATTGGATGGTTTTTGCCTCAGTGATGCTGCTGTCAATCCCTCAAATTCCAACCCATTTCACTGTTCAGCGTGTTCCAGATTAAGCGAGACTATGTGACACAGCACTGGGAGAGAGAGCATGTTTGCTGTTGTAATAGATGCAAGATTCAGCAGCTTTGATTAAAAAAACATAAAACTTTATGAATGTTTTATAGGAGGTTCTCTTTGGTTTTTTATAATTGCTTGGATTTGGGGGTTATTTGCCGCTTTACTCTAAGGGGATGGGAGAAGTGCAGGAAAATAAGCAATCTGCAAGTTGTTACCAGTCAGTACTTCAACCAAATGGCTCTGATGCTGATGACATCTTAAACCATAATACTGAAACTTCCAATGGTTTGGGAATATGTGTTGTGAATATCAGCAGCTTTGGAAAATTGCCACTATAATTGGTCTCAGGAAAGTATGTGGAAAACTAAAGAAATTCACTCCCGATCAAAATCAACACTAGCCCTCAATGCCAGTTGTCTAACTGAAATGACCACCACCTTGTCCCATCAGTAACTTAGCTCCTCTTTGGATTCTAACCATAAGTAACTTGGTATCATGGCAACTTTACAGCACACTATGAGGCCAGTTACTGTAGTGGGTCTGAAGCTATCTGCTCCAGTCCTCTCCCTGCTCTTTCCCCATATACTTTAAGATCATTTTTCCTCCCAAATATTTATCCAGTTTGCTTTTAAATGCTGTTATCGGCTCAGTTTCAACAGCCATGTGGAATGAAGCATTCCAACAAGCCTCTGTAACAATTTTCCTTCTAACCCCCCTTTTCTTCTGGTGATCATCCTCGATTTATGACCTCTTGTTACTGACTGGTCTATCAGGAGAAATAGTCTCTCTCTATTCAGCCTATCCTGGCTTTGAAAACCTCCACTAGATTTCCCCCCTTAACTTTTCATTAGACAGGGTATTATTTTACGGACTGAAATATGTGTTGTGTACAGGCCCAAACCTGAATTACCTCATAATAACCTTAGTACTGATCTAAACTAAACAAATGACTTTGTCTCACCCTGGCCCTCAATTCCTCTCACAAATGTCAGGCTTATTGCCTCTCACGCTCACAGAGAGCTATTTTAAACATCAAATGGTTGCAAAGAATTCCGATTATCTTGAACATCTGTTTTTATATTTTAAATATGTGAGCTTAAACAATAAGTGCCGATCATACAATAGGGTGGAGCTGGCTTGCAAGAATGGCTGAGCCCAATTGAGCAAAGAGGCTCGATTACTACAGTTAAGATGATCTGATTGCTGAAACACCCTTGGGTTAATGACTGTGTCTTCTCTGATATTCAGCTCCCTTACAGTTGGGGGNTCAGTAATTTCTTACAGTCAACTCAGTGTATGATCCTATCGGATCTCTCTGCTGGAGCAAGAATATTATTTTGAAAATGGCAAAGGACCTTTCGACAAAGCTGGGAACTTGCGTCTTCAGCTCATCGTTGCCAGATATTTTGTATCATAATTCTTGCATTTGATATAACCCATAGGTGCACCTGGAAGTTCTTTACAGTTGATTGTTGTCAAGTGTAGTGACTGTGTTTGTAGGTAAACAAATGCTGTATGACATACATCTATCTAGTACCCAGTGCCTGTTTGTAGCACTCCTGTGTATGGCAGTGTCAGGTTGAGTGTTGCTGCTTTGTGGGTCCTGTGTTTTAGGTCTCTGTATGTAAAGACCCACCATCACCAGCTTGGAGATTTCATAAGAGACCCAACACCAAGGCAGGAGAATGTAGAGAGGTGCTCGGCACTCACTGCCTGAGTGTGAGAAGCTCGGGCAGGGGCAGAGCTGCTGGAGGCGGCAGCGCCTACATTTAAAATGTAACGAAGCAGCTTTCCTCCCCGCAGCAACTGCATTTCAAAAGGAAATCAGACAGCGAGGCAGAGGAGGGAATCCAGGGAAGTTGAAGTGTGCAAATTTAATTTCTCATTAATGACAGCAAGAGAAGACTTCAAAGCTGCTGTCATGAGTGAGGAATCCGGTTTGGATGCTGACACTTTGGTCTATGTGCTCTTTGAATTGCTAATTGATTTCCTCTTGCCATGTGTTTGCAATGGGAAAGTCCTTCTGCATTGATCTCCAGTCACCTCATGGCGTTCTGCCCCAATGACACTAATGGCTTGAGCCGCCAACTGCCCTGGTTCAGAAATGTCGCTGACATTGTACAGAATGTACAGCAAATATCTGTTTACTTTTCTGCTGTGTTAAACATGGAAACAAACATTGACTGAGTGGCACCATAAACACCATAGATTTCTCCTTTTGATATTTCAGATTGTGCAATAGAACACAGCTTCTCTTTGAGCAGCGTGGAGTGTAAAGAGACATTAATTTACAAATTCAAATGACACCAGAAGGCAAGAGTGCAAATTTTACCCTATGCTTCGTGGCTTTGTGTGGGACCTTGAGATACACAATATGACTGCCCTGTTTGACTACAAATTCATTCATTACATTTGGTAGTAATTTCCTGGGAAGCACATTGTGTCAAATCCAAGGGTGATGCTGGTTATTGTTGTTATCGTCATCTCAACATTACGGAATAATATAATTGCTAGTTCAGGAGGTGGGAGTGGAAAAATACTCGGGAATTTCAGAGCAAACCTCCAAGAGAATTAAGAGATGAGAAAGTGGTGAAGGAGTTTCCTGCTCCAGGCAGCAGCAGTTGCAATCCTGCACTTAAATGTTTTGTAACATTCGCATAATCTCACATTGCACAGCTAAGCGGCTACAGAGGGAGTCATCACAACAGCACAAGTCACTGCACTCTGGGTTTTGGTGTGTTTTGTGTGGCACCAGTAATGAATCCTACTCTTGTGAAAGAAGAATTGTCTGAATCACATTAGAAATGGAGTTGCATCTAATGAAACCCAGCTTTTGGTAGGAATGATTTAACCTCATTCAGGCACATAGGGGATAAAATGACTTTTGGTTTTGCGTTGTCAAATTTCTCCCCTCCTCCCCTGAAATTGTTTAAATTTTCCATCTAGGGTACAGTTTCCCTACTGAATAACATCAGCACAATAAGCACAAGGACCATAGAGGGTTAGAGTGAAAGGCCTACACACCACCTTCTCAGGCAAACTATCGAGCCTAATCCTGGCCTCGCCCAATCTACACCCACATTCACCTCCAGGAGGGGATCACAAGAGCGATTGGGAGCAAGAACCTCGAGTGGTTTTCCCCTCCATAACTCCAGGTCACTGATGACCATATGAAGCATTCCTAGCGCAGACCATTGATTGCTAAGACAGCAATAAAAGGCTACTTCAGCACAAACCAGAGATCAAACCAATAAGGTTTAGCTGTTTATCAAGTCATGCTGTTCCGCTGACGACTGGACAGCTCATCCCATGCATCTCAATCAATGCCAACACCTTCCTGTCTTATGTGTATACTGGAATCAAGCAGGCGTGACTTTGATTCTCCCCCAATTCCCTGGGGCTTATTTTAAAGTTATTATGTGTGTTGTGACACTCCCCGTTTCACACTGTACTTCTATACTTTTGTATATATTTTATTAATCATCTTATTTCAAAGTCATGTTTTGATTGAAACTTATATCAAAGGTGCCGATCTCAGGTGAGTCAGTAGTTTGGGGAATGAGCTTACAGGCGTCACCGGATTTGGTTGCAGAACAGGTTTTTTTTCCCTCACCTTTTTTTATGTTCTTGCCTTCCTCCGTCTCCTTTACTGGAGCCAGTGATTCATCCTGGGCAGTGGAGTTCAATAGGCCATTCTTTATTTAGTACCTCGACTGAGTGCCCCATTAACCATGTGTAAGCCTGCACAGACAGTGTTAGGGAACTTTGTGTGTGTGTACCTGTCTATTTATTCAATGCATTATGTGCAGTGTTAGAAGTACATAGATAGATAGCATTGATTGAAGCCCTTTCAATTTACGGTAATTAGAAATGTTTCTACTATACGATGATGACTGTTAAGATAAAGAATTCTGCCTGTTATTTGTCAGCCTGGCTCAGTTAGTAGCACTCTTCTAATAATATAATAATAATAATAATAATCCTTGCATTTGATATAGCGCTTTTCATGTCAGGAGGACATCCCAAAATGCTTCACAGAACACACTGTAAAGTGAATTGACTGTATATTTGTGGGCGAACGCGGCAGCCAATTGCACACAGCAATGTCCCACAAACAGTCGTAGATTGAAAATGACCAATTTATTATTGTTTTTGGTTTTTGGAGGGATTATTATTAGGTGAGTGGAGTAAGGAAACTTGCCCAAGGTTTCGCCTCTGCCTGGAATTGAACTCAGGTCTCTCACTTGCAAAGCGAGTGCTGTAACCACTGAGCTACAGGACTCCTCTTGCCTTTGAGTAAGAAGGTTGTGTGTTTAATTTCTGCGTTTGGACTTTGAAATCATAGTCTCGGCTGAGACTCCAATGTAGGGAACACTGTATTGTGTAAAGTGCTGTTCTTTAGATGGGATGTTAACTTGTCTGCACAGATGGCAATATTCGAAAAGAAAAAGGAGTTTCTCCCACCATCCTGGCCAGCGCTCATCCAGATAAAATTGATTATTCACTTATTAGCTTTTTGTGGGATATTGCTGTGTGCAAATTGGCTGCTGTGTTGGCCTCAACACTAGTGTTGGCCTGAAGATTTATAGTGTTGGCCTAGAAATACACAGTCACTATGTTTTATAGCAAAATACTGCAAAGCGCCATGAGATGTTTCTATGAGGTGAGAAGGTGAGATATACAATATAAAGACCAATGTTGTTTCTATACATTCCTTTCTGCCTGTTCAGTGAGAAAGAGGATGAGCTGGCGAGAGTGAGCGAGATGCAGAAGCTCCAAGCCCTGCAGGCAGACACAGCTCTGGAGGAGTTTAAGAGGCAGGTGGAGCTGAACTCCGACAAGGTCTACTCTGAAATGAAACAGCAGGTGAGGCTTTTTTTTTCCCCCCACATCAGTTCCAAGTGGTCTGCCAAGCTGAGACATTGCTTACACCAGCCAGCTTCTGGTTTCTATTATTAAGCCCAGGGTTTCAAGTTAAGGAACTCGCATCAGATTTTATTTAACCACAGGAGATCGAAGAGTATGCAGCATTAGGTGGATTTAATCTGGAATTAGTGGCACAGCAAAAGTGAACTTTGAGCCACCCATTTCAGCTTAAACCCATGTCTAATACACACAGGTTCAGAACGGTTGTATATGTTGAGGACCTGTTCTAAGATATCACAGCAAACAGTGCGCAATAGATCGGACGTTCCTCAAACCATTAACCGACTGCTGGGCTGGGCTTACTCCTTCCTCACTGCCAGGCTTTTCTTCCACTCTCCCATTGAAGCACTCGCCTCAGGAATATGGATTGGAACCTTGCTGAGATCACTGTTTTTAAGGGTCAGGTGTGAAATTACTTCTCAACTAGTTCCTGTCCAGCGTGTGCCTATAGTGCAACCGTGCCTGTGATTTGGCACCAAGTTACCAACTTCACTCAGAGAATCAGTCCATCAGGATGGTTACAAAATGGAAATATTTTACTGTTGCAGCAGAGGATGCTCTGAAATGCTGTACACTGTCCAGCACCTTGGGACGTCCTCCCGATGTGAAAGGCGCTATACAAATGTAATCTTGTGGTTCTAAGGCTGGTGTTAAGGCAGGTGGCTGGGAGTGTGTAGAGAGCTTCACTGTGCATCTGATGCAAGCTGTACCTGACTTGGGAATGCTTGATATAACAGTCTGCAAAATTAAGAAAGTATACCATTTTTCGTGCCACTAGTTTTGCTGAGTGCAAAAACGTTCCATAAAAAACAGTATTTATTTTAGGTGTTGAGTCTCCTTGCTAGATTTGGTTAAAAACTATTGGTATAAAAACATCTGCACTTGGGTCAGAAGCATCAAAGGTGCTTTAATCTACTTGTCCTCTCAAATCCTATTATGTTAAAGCAGGCACTGAGCCCTTTGAAGATCTGACAATAGTAAATTCAAATGACTGCCGGTTACACATGCTGTAAACAAGAGTCAGGAATGCACTGGTTAGTGTGTCATACAGATCATCGCTGTAAGTCCAGCAAAGACTTCGACCCACTCTCACTATAGAGATACTAGCCCTTAAATTTTCGTCCTTGTCTGGACTCAACTTACCTGATCCTCGCTATTCTTTTCCGACTTTGGCAACCAAAGTACATAGTTTTTGTCCAAATGTTTTTACCACTGAGACAGACAGGCTGTTGTCCAGAAATTTCATTCCTCTCGCAGTCAGCCAGACATTCATGTGTTTAGGGGACTTCTCAACTAGTTCCTGTTCAGCGAGTGCCTATAGTGCAACCGTGCCTGTGATTTGGCACCAAGTTACCAACTTCACTCAGAGAATCAGTCCATCAGGATGGTTACAAAATGGAAGTATTTTACTGTTGCAGCAGAGGATGCTTTTCTGAGGCTGGTTTGAGGCAGGTGGCATCATCAATGTGACATCATGAAATACAATGGGCGATTTGCAGTATTTCTTAACTGTGATTTCTAACTAAAGAATCTGAGTTACTACCTGGTAGCTGGGAGTACATCTCACTGACCATCACTCCAACACAAACTACATCCAGAATAGTGTTCTTACGGCGAATGGGAATTCTCATGTGATTCCTCCCATTAATGACTGCAAATCAGATCCCAATCTCATCTACATAATGTTAGATCGTTTATTGGGCACTAACTACTTCGTAACAGAAGAATAAATAGAGCTGAGGTGCTGCCCCTAGGTGTCACTAGTGAACACATTTCCAAAGGCTGCCCAAACCATACAGGATGTGCTGCTATTTTATTTTGGCTTCTCCTTACATTCGTTGAATCAAAAGCTGAAAGTTGACCATGTAATTGTTTTGGAAGCAGAGATTTAGTGGGTACATGTCGCTGAAATACCATCCATTCATATAAAGAGCCAGCTGAGTTTGCTAAAGAGATTTTTTTCCATAAATTGGGAAACACTCTGAGAAGGAATTCACTTTTCCACTGTTACTAATTGATCCCAGAGCCAATACATAAGAATAAATTGCTTCCAAACCACATGCTTTTAAGTAAAAATTATAAAGCCCAACATGGTAACTTTCCCAGCAAATCTGTTAGATATTAACTGTTGCACATTTCACTCAGATGAGGCATCATAGTCTGTGCTGTGGAACCGAGGGAAGACAGGCTAACCTAGGAATGCAATGACTTGGCCTGGCTATGAGACCAAGTCACAGTGATGCGGGGGAATCCATATATGAAACTCAGATATTAACTAATACTTCAGGGCAAAGGTTAGCAGGAATTTCTTCATTCCAGATGGTGGTAAGGGTGTGAAATTTATTACCATAAGTGCCTGTTAAGGTTGGATGAATGGAAAGGCGGACTGATTAAACACCTGAGCAGCACGAATATTACAGCATAATAATAATACTTGCATTTAATGTGGCAAATTGGCTGGAAAGTAGCTGAACTTTCCATAAAGGATGATGATTCAGGGAGTAGTGACAGACATGATTGACCAAATGGCCTCCTCCATGCTGAAACCTTCTGTGAGCTCTGAATATCTGAAGTCTCACCAGGATATTGAGAGCAATGTCAACCTGGACTGAGTTCAAGTCCCTAAGTAAGTGTTTGAACTCACCACCTTGTGCACTAGGGGTGAGAGTGGTAGCTTACTCAGTAAAACTAATACAATAGAGGAATCGTATGGTTTCTGTAGCCAGCAATGGGTTAACATAATGGCTTTGGTTTTCACTGTATAATTCATACTCAGATCAGAGTGCTGATGGCTTGGGGACAGAACTTGCAAAAGGAGGCGGCCTTTATGCAAAGGAAAATGCTAAATGTATTTGAAGTTTGCTGCTGTTCCTGTTTTGATTTGATTAATTCTGCCATTTTTTAAAAAAAAACTTCTTTTGTGTTTCATACGTTTTTTTCACACGCCGAAAAAGTTTCTTATTTTTATTTTAAAAGAAAATGGTTTGTTGTGAGGTTACCCTGATCCTGGCAGTGAGTGTTTAAAGCTACATTGACTTTGTGCTGCAGTGAAATAGTTATAGATTTTTGTCCCTGTGACTGCAGCTCCAAATCAAAAATTCTCTTTCTTGCCTTTTCTAGATGGAGAAGGTTGAAGTAGATCTGAGCAGATCAAAATGTGTTCGTGAGAAGCAATCAAAGGAATTCTCCAGGCAGTTGGAGGAACACAAGCAACGATCCGAACAACAAGTATGTTTAATCAGATTCTTTTACTTTTGCCTGAAGTTTATTTCTGGTATCTTGGTCGCAGGGGATTAATTGAGGTCGAACTTGCCTGATTTGCCGCAGGTTTTGTAAATGGAGTGTCCTGCAGGTAGCCAGGTTGTCTCACCCTCTGGAGCTCTGCTCAGACTGTCTCTTCCCGTCAATACCTCCCTTGCCCATAATCTGACCTTGCAGAAGACCATTTAGATCAGGATCCAAGCAGAGTTTCAGAGAATCAGCATGGGACAAATCAGGGCAGCTAAAGTCAATCTACTTCACAGTATAAGGCGCTCTATCAAATGCAAGGATTCTTATTATTATTTTGTGAATTTGGCCAAATAGACCCCAGTGTAACAAAGCAGAGAGTCAATTTGTTTCCATCCTATAGCGCCATGTTGCATTTACACTGTCCCCTGGTTATAACATGGCAATTTGCTTTGGCTACCTACCTCACAGGGCACTGTCTCCTCAGTACCCAGTGACTTTAGAGGGAATGTCAAAGCCACTTACAGCCCAGACCCAGTTGTTGCCTTGCAAGGTGATGGTGTCTTCTCTGGTAGGTGTCTGTGTTAGAGGAATTCTTTTACTCAGACAGACACATGGTGCAACCATTCCTTAAACAAATTCTAATACTTTTAAAGTGTTCCTATCCCATGAGGATTCAATGCCCCATGTAATCTGGACATCGCCAAGAAACCACCTCCTGCGCACCCAACCTGCCCAATTGTCATGGTGGAGCAGAGATTAATATTAGACTAATATTTGGAGAGTGTGAAACAAAATTAAAATGAATAACCGTCATTTTGAGCGCTGTTTCAGTTTGTCTGTTTTCCTTTTTTCATTCGGGGCTGGGTTTCACTTTAAAGTATCATTAATGGTTTTCTTTTGTGCGTTTAGGTGTTCGGCCTGTCCCCGGCCCTCAGGTTTGTTTCCCCACCCCCTCTCTCGGTACACCGAAGATCTTGTGTTCTCCTGTCTGCAGCTCTCAGCCGCCGACTATATGCGGACGTTGTTACTGTTTTGAGGATATTATATGATTTTATATTGTGATCATTTCTAAATATCTACAAGCCGTGTTCTTGTAGAATGGCGAAACAGGCTCGAGGGGCTAAACGTCTTACCCCTGTTTCAATGTTTCTTTAACTGGATATAAGCTTTTAACTTCCCAATAATTCCGATCTCAAAATATAACCCCCACCCCCCTGGTCAGGTTTTTAAAAATTTTATTTCTATATTTGAGAAATAAACAGCTTTAGTGAGTAAAAGTTTATTTTCTCAATACTTTCTGATTTGGGCCCTAAAATTATCACCCCGACATGTCCCCTTTCAGCTATTTTTTCACACTGTCTTCCACTATGGATTTGTTGCCTATTTATTTTTGTAAAACATCTTGATTTTTGGCATGCTAAATAATTTAAAAGGGACGGAGAGGAATGCATTGTGGTTGCGAAGCAGCGAGGTACAGGTTCATTACAAGCTGGGGAAACTCAACTAATGAATATTAGAGCCTTCGTCACAAAGTGGGTTAGTAATGTAGTGATACACAAGCTGCGAAGCAGACAGGGATTTTTTTTTGACGTCTTTTTCAGTTTGTGTGCGGAGGGGAGGGAGAGCATTGTCATTTCTGCGTCTTTAGTAAATGTGGAGAAAAAGTACTGCTCAGATCATGCCGTGGAACAGAAGGTATTTAATTTGGTTTCCAGTTTACAAGTTGCTTAAGGGTTAAGTGTGCTTAGAATGTCCTGCGCATGTAGAAACATTTGGGTGTGAGCTAGCCATCAGCTGTTAGACAAGAGAATGGCTGTGTTTAAAATAAGCTTCTATCTTTTGGTCCGAGTACCATCCCGACGAAAATCAACCAAAACTGAAGAAAAATCTAAGTGACTGTTGCTAGCAGCTGTGTGGCCTGGGATTGCTGGAAATCTGGGATCCTGCAGGCCTCTATTCATCACCTGCTTCAAAGCCAGCATCGCTGCCTATAGTCAGCAGGCCAGGTAGGGTGCCATTGTGCACAGTCTGGGAGGATTAGTATCAAAGCAGTGGAGAGTAGGCCTCGGTTTCACACTACCATTCAAGCCTAGTGAGGGAGCTGAGGATTGGCCAAGGTCAGAGTCTCCAGCTTGGTGGTGACTGAGAACTGAATATTGGGAATAGACGGCTTTATGTGCAATCATAGCAAGCTCCCAGCACAGCAGGCGTCCTGCTCAAGATGTAAGTCTGTTTATTTCAGATCACATAGCTGACAGCCAGAGAATGCTCCGTCTTTCATGTAAAAAACACTGTAAATTGGATGATTTTTGTATGCTTGGAGACGGGATTTATAGAATCAGCGCCCGCTGTGTTTCCCCCCCGAAAAATCGCAATCCGAATTTTATCCATTTTTTATAAAAAAAAGAACCTTTGTGTGCGTTTCATTGAATCCTCAGTTATGGTCTGAATAGCCGAAGAAATCCCATCGAATGGTTCACATGCTAAGGATTAAGATGGTTTTGTTTTTGTAACCATATAAATTATATTAATTATATTTATACAACAGTCATTGCCTAAATCAGAGAAACTTCATTTTTGTTTGGAAAAACAATACAAAGGCTCACAGCTTTGTGCTAAAACCAACGGAGATTTATATATGTGTTTCTTTTCCCCCCTGTCGAAGGTCGTGAAAGGGATTGAAAAAAAGATGGTCAGTTTGCAAGACTGCAAGGTGCGGGTTCGTGCTGTGCAGAGCGAGCAAGCTGGGGAGAGGGTGGGGGGGAAGTTTAACAACTGCAGAGCAGTGGTGCAACAGTGACGTAGCAATCATGTTTAGCAATAGGGACTTTTTTTTGGAAAATTGATGAGTTTAGGAGGAAAAAGATGAGGAGAAGGGGGGAATAAAATGCAGCGGACGGAGTGTTGTCATGGTAACGGTGATGTGGTATTGATGAACGGCACTCTTCGTCACCCAATCAGATAGTGGAACTGAAGCTGGAGCGTGAGCAGGAGAAGACGTACCTATTCCAGCAGCACAGCGCGGAAAAGGACAGCCTGGTCCGAGAGCACGAACGGGAGATCGACAACCTCGAGAAGCAGCTTCGTGCCGCCATAGTGGAACACGAAAACCAGACCAGGCAACTGAGGAAGCAAGACACTCAGGTGAAAATGGCTGATGGGAATTTTTTTTCTTAACTGAAAGAGTCTTACTTAAAATTTATATCAATGCGGCGATTATAGCATGCGCTTTGGCGAGGGCTGGAATTGTCTGCTTGAGCGCCGATTTCTGGGTGGGGTGAATTAGCTTTGCGTACGGTTCTGTTAATGCTGTATGGGGGATAAATAAGATTTAATCTGCAAAAACTGCAGGTTGCCAGCTTTAAAATGTCCCCTGATGCGATAAATTTGGCCTTTCACTTTCACCTGGAGTCACGCTCCTATTATTTTGGATCTCTTCCATAAATTGGGAATTGCATTTGGGCTTTATGTGATTATGCGCGAGTCGAAAGCCCACGTTTTTTATTATGTATTTTGACTTTGCTCTGTGGGAAGCCAAGCACCATCTTTTTTAAGAAACCCCCCCCCTCATTTTTGCACTCCTGGACATCTGACCATGAGCGTTATTGAATTTACAAGGTTTAGAAATGTTTCTCTCCCCTTTCACCATTATTTTTGTTATATTTCATCTCACCCCCCACACTCCCTCCCCTTCCCAATCCTTGAAAGTAACAGTCACTGTTGGAAGCCATTTGACAGAATAACCCCCAGCTGTGGACACATTTGAAGCATCAAACGTACGGATGAAATGTGCATTGTCAGCATGGAAAATGATTTAGATTAGTTCTGAGCTTTTTCTTTCTTGGGGGAAAAAAAAACTTTCAGATGGGTTGTGTTTTTGAGCAGTGAAACCCAATTCGATCAGCAAGAGTGGATCCCTGGCAGGGACTGACTGCAGAAAGATAAAGGGAGTGCACACGGCGGGCTAACATTCGCTCTCTGCGGCCATGTATGGTACACTGAAACTGGACAAAGATAGCGCCACATTACGGGGGAAACCAGAAACCTTTATTTTGGGACGACCCGATCAAAAGAGGATAGGCGTGTGCGTAGCATATTTTTTAAAAAAGGCAGGATAAACCTTAAAATCGCTAATATGCTTTCCTTTGATGTTGAATTCCTTACAGCGGTTAGAGGAATAAAAATAGTTCTAAGTTTTTCAACATACAATTTAGTTTGTATTAATTCAAACAATCGCCCACTTGAGTTAGCGACAATCGCATTCTATAGACCAGACCACCTGATACATTACCTTGGAATTTTAAAACAAAGAAAAATTTTTTGGCAATTAAATAAGTTAATCATAACCATACGATCTAGCAACCGTACAGGACACAAATATCAAACGATTTCTAAAGAAAACATTGATGTATATGGACGGCTCCCCTCTCTGTTTTGCATGGACTGAGATGCAATGCCATCCGCGCGGATGGCTTATTTTCTTGGCATCACATTCGCCTGATGTCTGTTGACCTTTAGCGTTTCTGGAGGAGAAGGAGCCCGGAAACATACCATCATCATACGCTAATCCCGTTAGGTTTACCGAGTGCCAAGATCTGATTGTTCAAGCCGCCCAGGCAGGAGCTAGTGGTGTTGAACATCAGTAAAGAGACTACGTTGAAATTGCTGAATCGCAGTGAACCAACCTGCAGTCACAGTGTGCCGGGTGACTTAGAGCCACATTAGGGTTTGATACTTCTGAACAATTTGATCATGGATTTGCTTGAGTGAAACGCCTCAAAGTATGTCGCAAATGGAACTTCAGGTGTTTCCTGGAAAGCAATTTTACAGAGGAACAGATCAATGAAACTGAAGCCATTTTGCTTTGACCGCAGGCTCTGCAATCAGCAAACGAATGCCCTAAACTAACATATTATTTTTAGGGCAAGAAGATCGCTTCTTTGTGCTAGTCATGTGAGGAGCTGAGAATTTGTCCTTTGGATGACTAATCCTCAGTTTCACAATTCAAGCGGGTGGAACACATTCTAGGAAAGGACTCTGCCACTTCTCAATGTTATAGTCAATCATTTAGACTTGTGATGTATTGCATTATTGAAATAATATCATTTATTTAGCCCCTTTAACACAACAGAACATCAAAGTAAAATATTTAATTCAAATCTGTTTTTTGTTGGAAAAAAAAGGATTTTGTATATACCAAAAGCTAGCCGTCTCTCAAGGGCTGCCTTTCTGCCCCCCAGGAGTTGAGAACTACTGAGGAATTCTTCAGAGTTCCAGTATTTTTAGAGGTCTATTTGATCATTCTTCAGTTAAAATTGAAATCCAATTTGAATGAAGAATATTTACAGTTGAAGACTGTGGAACGTGACTGATGCATACCTCGATGATGTCAAATGTATTTTGACTTTTTTTCACAAAAAAATTATAATCAAAATTTTTTTTAAAACTCAAAAGATACGATTATTGGATTCCGGAATGTGTGTTTCCAAAGATTGAGAATTGATTTGAAGATCAACAGAGTCAGCGTTTGGTTTTGTCCTTTAATTGTGCTCATTCTCAAATTGGGCAGAATACATGTGCGTCAATTCTTGCTCAAATTGGCCTTGAGCTATCGCCATTCAACTTTCTCCAGCTACCGAGGCTATCGATGAAGTGTATTTCTCGGTCCACGCCATGCCGCTCAGTCCATGCCAGGTGTCAGAACAGATGTGGTGGAGTGTCTTTAATTAAACTATTTGCATGCTGTCGGGGAATTTCAAAGCTGCTTTACTTTGATAGTGACATCCTTGCTCGTTTGGAAATTCTGATGCTTTTAGTTTGTAAAAGTCAATCTTATGGATTTAAAATTGGTTGTCTTCGTGTCTAACACTAATCCTGACCTCCACATGTAGCTGGTGAGCTATGAACTGGACACATTGAATAATTGAGAGCAAATTACGCTAAAACTGATCCTTTTTAATCCAAAGCAAAGATGATTTGGGGGTCGAGGGATTGGAAATGTTTGAGGTAAAGAAAACTTCATTTGGCTTTAATGATATTCTGTGTGTTTGTGCTCGAAAGAAGTTGAAGAGGCAACACCTTGTGTTTAACCAGCTCCAAGAACCCGACTGTGCAATGGAACACTTCATTTTGACTATAATGAAATGGAGTCCAGTACCTTAGTGGTTAGAGCGCTCACCTCACAAGCGAGAGGTCCTGGATTTGATTCCCAGCCGGGCAGGGCAAAACATTGGGCATGTTTCCTTACTCAACACGTCTCTGTTTACCTAGCAGTAAGTAGGAACAGGTTGTTAGTCAATTGGCGGATTACTTTTCCGGGGGGGTAATAATCCCTTAACAAAAATAATCCACGCTGTTTGTGCTCAATTGGCTGCTGCATTTGGCCCACAAAATACACAGTTAATTCACTTTACAGTATATTCTGTGAAACGCTTTGAGACGTCTCGAAGATGTGATACGCTTCTATATCAAATGCAAGGATTATTATTAGGTATTAAATTAACTTTTTCTACAGACGAAACTTTTATCACCCATTGATGCTATTTATGGGGTGACTAAGATTTAGGTACTTGTCTGCAAATAGTTAACACAGGAAAGAATTGATTCAGAATTTCCGATAATTTCCAATCTGAGATGGTTTCTGAAGAAACAGATTCTGATTGGTAATGAAGCAACAGTACACCTGTCTGGGCGTCTTCTGGTGATGGCCAGCTAGCTCACAATATGAGCTGAACCAGTTGGTTTTTGAACATTCTGAGGTGTCTCATCGGACCTGTATTGTCTGCACAAATACAATAACATATGTTTTCGACTACCCTATTCACATGTTTATTATCTGTGCTTTTCAGCCTTTTATAAACCTGAATTCTGTGTTTCGATCTTTTTTCCAATGAAGCAAGTTCAGCTCTTGCAAGCTTCTCCTCGTAGGTTAGGGCTCCAGTACAGAGTACACGTCTTTGTAGTTTTGCAAAGCACTAGGAAGACCACACTGCGAGCAACAAGACTGATCCCTTGTGTAAAGAGGGTGAACTGGGCGGAAATGCTAGGAAGAAAGCTCAATTGCTGAAAGCAGTTGAGCGGAAACCTGATTAACTTTGCTGCAAAAACTTTCAGTGAATGATCAATAATCACAATCAACCTCTTTCCTTCACCACCTCCGCCCGTGGAGGTAAACAGATGACCAAATGATGATAAGGTGCTGTTAGAGGACAAATGATTTTCAGGACAAGTTGTGTATTTAAACAATTTCCACTGAGTGAAATAATTTGAACTATAAAACACACCTTGATTACTAACGCAACCAATGTTTCTAAATATTCTTCATTTTCTTTCATCTACTATTTGGAGTCCTGTAGCTCAGTGGTTAGAGCACTCGCTTTGCAAGTGAGAGACCTGAGTTTAATTCCCGGCAGAGGGCGAAACCTTGGGCAAGTTTCCTTACTCCACACGAGCCTAATAATAATCCCTCCAAAACCCAAAACAATAATAAATTGGTCATTTTCAATCTACGACTGTTTGTGGGACATTGCTGTGCGCAATTGGCTGCTGCGTTCGCCCACAAATATACAGTCAATTCACTTTACAGTGTGTTCTGTGAAGCGCTTTGGGACGTCCTCCTGACGTGAAAAGCGCTATATCAAATGCAAGGATTATTATTATTATTATTACTAACTAAAATGCTTAATTCTGCATTTAAGTCACCATTTCAGTCTTTTTAAAAGCATTGTTTCTGTAAGAAACCTACACTTTACACTACCATTGCACGCAATAAGCCTATGGGAATGAAGCCCTCAGCTGCAGAGATTAGGACTCTATTATCACATTAGTCTCGGTCGCAGCATTTACCCACTGCCTCCCTGCTCCAGAAAAACTCACTAAGAAATCATTATTATTCCTTTCCCTCCAATGTTCACCATCTCCTGGAGGCAGTGACTATTGCTAGGGTATGGTGCACAGATGCCCTCTTTCCTCTGATTTCTCTCCCCATGTGGTTGGAAAACACCTGGCCTCCTTGTGGCAGTATTGCTATAAGATGTGAAACCCAGTGTAAGGAGATTGTGTCGCATTGCTCCATCTTGCATTTTGTTGACACTGTTGTGTGCTGCCCTGGTCTCAAGTAAGATATCCTTTTATCTTTATACTGTATACAGTGCAGAAGAAAAAATGACCATTGTAGTCCATCTGGTCAGTCCCAGTGTGAAAAAAGTAATTTTTCTCTCCTCTCAATTAAATTCTTTACCAAATAGCTATCTAATTCTCTCTTGAATTTGCTGACTTGATTTCTATTCCGTCCCTGGGTAGGCTATTTCACACATTTACCGCATTCTTTAAAATAATTCCATCTTCTGAACTTGAAGGGCGTTGGCCAGGACTCCAGGAGAAACTCCCTTCTGTATATTTGAACAAAAGCATAGAGAAGCGAGGCCTTGGGAAAGATGATGCTGCCTCCATTCCACCGTTTCCTCATCCACACCATCAACACCATCTTTCCCAAGATGGTGTCACTCACTCTCCAAGCTCGCCCATGAAGAAGAGCCTTTTGAGCAAGACATTAGAGAACTGCCCGCGCCTGTCCCACTTCAGGAGGGAAGAGAATGGCTAAAATCCAGATCATTATCGTTCCAAACAGCTCCACTGCATCTCTGGTTTAGGAGGCATCTCCTCTCTTGACGATTATAATGCATTCATTCTTTTTAAGTTGTCCTATTTAAATATTATAAACCAACAAATCCTTCCCCGAAATACTCCTAACCTCTACTCTTCCTCAACCGTGTGTGCAATGCTGTGTGTCAAAAGATCTAGGTTTCCTGTGTGTCGCTTTCCTGTACCAATGTGTGATAATTATAGAAAAATATGTAACTTGATAGTCATAGAATACGACAGTATCAAAGCATTCCTTTCTAGCCTCCTTGCAAAATGTGTTGTCTGCTGAACAGTTAATATGGCACACAATAAACAGGAAAGTATATATCCTGACAGATTGCAAACACAAGGATGTGTCTGAGACGGTTTATTTCATTATAAGCTGACTTGTTTCCCAGACACAGCCCTTAATGGGAACTTCTTGTTCCATTTCTGATTAGCGTCTTCAAGGCCACTGACAGCTGTCAGCCTTTGAAGCACTATCAAAAATATTATCCTGTTTTTATTCCTTCGTAACCATTGTTTTTAATTATGGTCGTTACATGAAGGAAATACTTTTGGTTTAAATGATGCTGTCCTTTCATTGAGTCACACAAATGTGGTTGAATAAATTGATCTGAAATCAAAGCAGTAAGTTTAAAGGGAAAGGTTTGACTGACGTGGACCCAGGACCAGATGGGGCTTTATGATGAAAAGGGTTTAATCCCAAACCAGGAATAGTTTCCATCAGTGGAACAGTACAAAGCAATTCACATATAGCTTGCTAGAAATGATCTTATGCACACTGATCTCCTCAAGACTTGCAAATGTGGCATTAGCTGATATTCAGAAAGATGCTTTCCTTTTATCCACCTGAGACTTAAGATTGCAGTACAGTATTCGAATTGGAAATGAGAACTGCAACACAGATATAAGGTTCAGCTTCTAATTTGTATTCAATATACATGTTACTGCAGGACGTGCAAGTATAGGACAACTGGTTCACTTGGATATTAAGCCAGACAGAGTTCTTTACCATCTTCTTTATATTTCACCAAATAAATTAATGAGAGCTGAGTGTTTCTGAAGTTATGATAATAATTACATTGTCCTGCAGATGTATCCGATGCAATAAAAAAATTAAAACCCCTGTAAAATATTAATAGAAGTGAACAACAGCCTATAAAGTCTATGTGCCTTTCATGTATCACTTCAAAAAAAAATGTGGCAAGGATATCTCTGTTCAATGTATTCCTTCTCCTGAGGGGATACTGATCTGGGATCTTTACTGCACACAAATACAGTGAGAGCCATAGTACCTGTTAGTGAATTCAGAACACTGCCAGACCAGCCTCAAATTGAATATGTGGGAGAATGATCTGACTTAGTGGTCATTAGGTAGCCAGTCAATAAAAGATAATGATTAAGTGCTTTTCTGCTTTGGGTTGTCTCTGCTGCGTACAAACATGTTCAGAAGTTTTGAACTGTGCTTGTGTAAATGATTGAAAGATTTTTTTTAAAAAAGTTTCCTTGCTTGTAAATTCTGACGTGAATGTGTTGTTGGTTTGGTTTCTTCCACCTCATTCCAGCTGGTTGGGAGCTTAGCTCTGAGAATTCCTTGTAATTGTTTTCCTGAGTGCTTGCATGGACCACCTCACCTCCTGGTGCTAGTAGGATAAGAGTTCTCTTCACATTATTAATAGTCTTTCTTTTCTATGCATTGAGTTTTTCCCCTTTCTTATAGTGTGTGCCCAACACTGTAGCACATCATAAAGACGTTTTGCTGTGCATTCAAACTAAGCCAAATTGTACAATCATTACCTCCGCAAAATGATTATATTGGGGCAATACGCTCCAGATATGGACTGGCATTCATCACCTCCTGGTGCTAGTAGGATAAGAGTTCTCTTCACATTATTAATAGTCTTTCTTTTCTATGCATTGAGTTTTTCCCCTTTCTTATAGTGTGTGCCCAACACTGTAGCACATCATAAAGACGTTTTGCTGTGCATTCAAACTAAGCCAAATTGTACAATCATTACCTCCGCAAAATGATCATATTGGGGCAATACGCTCCAGATATGGACTGGCATTCATCATGCGTAGGTTGCCTATTAGCAAGAGACCTCTCTCCTAAGACAAAACATCTCGGCTTCTGAAGACAACATTGAGGCAGCTTGTGAGGTCTGGATCTCAGCTTCCACTAGATATTAATCAACTGATCTGGGTTTCCACAATCGGTCTTCCTACTTCTTTAACAATAATAATCCTTACAATTGATGTAACGCCTTATCATGTTGAGACGTCTCAAAGCACTTCACAGAATATATTGTAAAATTTAAGAATATAACTTACTTTTGGTGGAAGCATTTCTCTTCAAGAAACAGGAAAGCTGGTCTGCCCTGTACAATGTCCTATCTGACACCAAATAGTCCGGACCATTTTAGAAGGACTTCTAATCCTCAACCTCTCATGATCAGGTGCTGATCTGCTGTGAAAGACTGCTGGGTCCAGACTGAATTTGTCTACAGTGTCCAATAGAGAAATCACTGGTGTTGGAATTCTGTATGACTGGCTGCTGTCTTGCTGTCCTCTGGCCTCTTCACCTCCCTCAGCAATGGAAGGAACTTTGACCCATTTTGAAATAAATGGACTAAAATACCTAAACTGCCTGCTACTTAGCACCGATCAAGTTAGTGGGAAATTGGATCCAGAATATTACCTGGGGAAACATCACAAGATTCCCACCAAATAAGAGAAAATGTTTCCCTGAAACGCCGCCTGAATTTCAAAATGTTACATTTTATATCTCTCGATTATACCAATAACCTTGTGGCAAAGAGGTTAATCTCCTCACATCCTGTTGCAATCCTTTCTCTGCTGTTTTCTGCCCGCTCCTTTTTTTTAATTTACGCTTTATTAAACTAAAGGTCATCTCAGCACCGTGACAAGTGGGGTTGATCAATGTTTTTTGGAACTGATTTTAACCCCATTTTCACTTTATTCGTGATGAAAGAGTGCTGGGAACAGTGACAGGATGCCAGGATTTAGCTGGAGCACAACCTGGCTAAAAGCAAGCACGGAAAATCCCAACAAACATTAAAACACGGGAAGCCTAAAACACTCAAAACTGCTGGCTCCTGAGATAATTGGCGACAGATTACTCTGTCCATTCACCCACAAATATCACATTTTCAACTCAGCAATTTCTTCATTGTTTCTTATCAAAGATTTATTTGATCCTTGAGTGCTCCGAGATGCTGTCCCACGCGAAGGCCACTATATAAATGCAAATTGTTGTTTATTATTAAAATAGGCAACAGTTGGTGTTGGTTACTGATCACATGCCTGGCTACAGACACTGGGGAAATTCATATTAACAGAAGGGGGGAGCTCATTAAAATATTCAAAATCCAGAACAAGGGGATTTAATCTGTCCCTTATTACCAATTATTACCAAGGTAACTAGGAGGTACCTGACCGGGTTGTATGTATTTATTTGCTGTGGAGAAAGGGGAGTAACCGTAATGAGAGTGCTTGCGGAGAACAACACGCAAAAGCTAAGTTCACACTTAGGTTAAGTCTATCGTTGCTGCTCCTTTTGCAGACCATCTCGGAGTTGGAGGCTCAGGTGCACCAGTTGCGAGAGGAGCTGATCCAGGTGAACTCCCAGCGTAAGCAGCAGCTGGTGGAGCTGGGCCTGCTACGAGAGGAGGAGAAGCAGAAGGCGCTACGCGAGCATGAGGCAGGCGTCAGCAAGCTAAGAGCAGAGATGGAAAGGATGAAGTTGGAGATGCAGAGGGCGAGCACCACTGAACTGGAGCAGGCGGCAGAGAAGGTAGGATGCTCTCCGGGAATCCTTTAGTGCTTCTGCAATAGTAATAATAATAATCTTATAGATAATCCTTGCATTTGATATAGCACCAATATCAATACATTCAATACATCGCAACGTTCTTCAAGAATAATTTGCTGTCGAGTGTAGTGAATGTATTTATGTGATTATAGCCAATTTTTACACAGTAAGGTTCCATGTCACCAAACAACCATAAAATGACTGAACAATTTATCTGGAGGATTGCTGGTCAGGACACCTGGAGAAACTTCCTTCTCTTTTCAAATAGTGTTGTGGAATTTTAACCCTGAACAGGCAGGTGCATTCATGGTTTAAGATCATCACTTCTGTATGTTGTTCTGTCTGTTGTCTGCCTGTCTACTCGCTCATAACTAGTCAACGATTAGGATAGATACTCAGCTATATCTTCCATCCAAGAAACTCACTCAAGTAAGATTCATTTAAAGAAAATGTGATCTTTAAATTATGAGATGCCGTGTACTCAGTGTTTCAGAATGCAACGTGCATGATACCCTCCCTCCATCAGTCAAAATATCCTCAAAGCCAGGCAGGCCTCTAATATCATTGTCTTAGCTATGTGGCCTGGCAAATGCTGCCATCCTTTGTTTAACTCAGATGTCCCCAAGCAGTGCCAGTGAAGGACACCCCGACCTGATTACCAGAGTGAGTTTGACTACAAAGTGCAGCTATTTATGTCACCAAATCTTCAGGTCTTACTGGCGTTACTTGAGTTTCTTGCAATCCTGATGTCATGTGATGTGTCAAGAATTTACTCGTGTTGTAGCTGAGAGATTGATCTGGCAAAGTAACCCATCCAGGAGCCGGTGGCCTGCAGTCAACTGTCAATAGGCAATGAAAACGTTTCTCTCAGATGAAGTCTAGCTACTTAGAGATGTTCACAAGGGAATGTGCAGTGGAACCTTGGTTACATGCCACAGCAGAGAGCGTCTCAGCTGTTGCACTGTCAAACCACAAACTTTGCATTGCTTTCATTGTGGAGAGGTGAACCATTTCAGCAGCACAACTGCAGTTCTGTTGCTTACAACAAATATATTGCAGGGATGCATTCTTTCAAAGACATCTGTTGTCGATTATTTCGGTATGTGTCTTTTGAGTTGCGCTTTCTAACAGCAGGCCATATGTGTGCACATTGTCTAAAAACTGTACCCAAATTTACATTTACATGATGCATCCTCTCTCACTAATGAAATGTGACAGAAAAGCAATAAACTGGAATATGAGTGTTGGCTACCTGGATGCAGTGTGGGATTTGTGGATATAAAGCTGAAAACCTGCTGTTACTGCAGCAGAGTGAAGTAAATACTTTATGTGACTGAAGTGGGGGAAAGGTTCCTCGTTCCCTTGCCACTGTACGTTACCTCTCTTGAGTTGCCTGAGCAAGGTTACTTTACTTGTAGTCTGCAAATAACCAGCTATGCCCACCCTCGCCCTCCAGAAGCCAGAACCGTTTAGACATCTCATTTTCCTCGCTGATTTTGTCTTTTGCACACTGCTCCTGCATCGTGTTTCATTTGAACGATGCAAAAGTAATTGTACTCTTATCTCGCCCAGTGCAATATGGATGAGCTCTCTGCATGCCAGGCATTCGAACAAAACAAGTCAAGCAAGGCACAGAAAGTTCAGTGATAGATTTTCAAGTTTCAAAATAAGTTGAAATACACTCACCAATGGTGAAATACAACACTGTGTCCCTCCATGTATGCCATGCAGAGTCAACCAGTGTGTGGCAGCCTGGCTCAGTTGATAGCACTCTTGCCTCTGAGTCAGAAGGTTGAAACCCCTTGTTGGGAACTCATATAGACTGTCTTGATTATACTGGGGGGGGGGGGGGGTGCTGCATTGGTGAAGGTGCCATCCTTAGGATGAAACACTAAGCCAAGATCCCATCTGCCTGTTCAGAAGGATGTTAAAGATCCCATGACATGATTCAAAAAGAGAAGGGAGTTTCTCCAGGTGACCTGGCCAACAATCCCCAAAATGAAATTGGCTGTTTGTGGGACATTGCTGTGTGCAAATTGGCTGCCATGTTCACCCATAATTAAGGTACATAGTCACTTTACAGTGTATCCCGAGAAGCACTTTGGGACATCAGCCCGACATGAAAGGCACTGAGTCGAATGTAAGATTTTATAGCAATGCACTGTTTCCATTTTACTTTAATTGAATTTAGCCTTTCCGGTTTGATTGCTAAAACCTAAATTTGATCAAAATTGAAAAGAATTATTGTTCCCTCTTAAAAAAGTAACATTGCCACAAGCACAGAGTGTGTGTGTGTAGTAGCATTCTTTCCCATGCTGCACAAATAAGAATTGGTTTGATGAGCCTGGGAACCAGTACTTACTATGTGCTGATCTGAGCAAGCAGCATTTAAGTTCCAGTTGCACAAATACCCAAATGTCAGGTTTGTCGTTATGTGAAATATGCAAACAGCCACCCCTTGCATCTCACGCTTCGCTCACTACTATTCCATCATTGCATAATGGAGAAGGTGCCACTCCCGGTCTCATATGGGGTCTCAAAACGTCACAACTTAACTTATTAGTTTACTTCAACCAAACCCTTAAAAGATAGGTGGAGACTGATTTTATGACAGATATTGGACTTGCAGTGAGGATCAAAGACAAACTAACTGTGTTGCTGCTGTTATGTCTTCTATCAGAGCCCCTTTCTGAGACCTGTTTACAGAATTACACTAGTGTAATTACATGGTGTTTCACTGGCTGCTGCTCTTGTGTCACCTCAGTGGGACCGAGGAATTTATATCTTGCGAAACCCCACAGGCCTTAGTCACAAAGCAGTGAAAGTGAGCTGCACCCACTGCTGAGTGGGAGGAATGCTGGCCCCTGTATCATGTCTTCCCCTTTACCCAGTGACCCCTTAAAGTCCCATTGATCCCCAGGGATTACCTTGTGGACATGCAGAGGTGTGAATCTTTGGCTCTGATGAGAACTGGGGTCTGAGTTACTATCTGGGGAAACGAGTGAGGAAAAAGATTCCCTGCAGAAAACGGTATTTAAATCACAGGCGATTTTGCCAGTGGCCAAACCGCTGGAGCCCTGTGTAAACACCTTTATCTCCTTGTTCCATGTTTTTAAAAAGATTTTTCAAACTACTCCATTGCTCTATAACCACGAAAGTACAGAGGATGGTGGACAAAGTTTTAACTTAACCACCTTACCCAAACCCCAAGGGGAAGAAAGTCTGCCAGCCTCCTGAACATTTTACAAATCTGCTATCACAAAGGTGTAATGGGTTCCAGCACACTCTGAGCTCCAGGAGATGGAAGCTGCTGATCCTTTCTTAAATACTGCTGATCGTTTTAATCTCCCTCTACCCCCCCCCACCCCACAGACACACACACTATGAAAAGCTGCATTGAGTTAGCCAACTCTGGGAAAACCAGGAACTTTGGGACGGAGTACGAGGAAGTTTTTATTTTTTATTTTTTGCGTTGATTATGCCATTAACCTTTTTTTTCACAAGGTTGCAATGATCACAGAACTCTGCATTTTGACTGAACCATCGACTGTAGTACATCCAAAGTACACTGGCCAGTTACCTGGACTGTTAAACTGTTTGTTTCAAGGTTGTAACGTAAATGTACAGAATAATCGTTGAAAGGCCTCATGGTTATTCATATGGTCTGGGAAGAGGTCTTGGATTTTGAAATCCAGCAAATGTGTCGCAAAGTTTCAGCGAGGTGACGGGGTTCATTTCTGAACCTCACTCCAAGTTTGTGATCAGGCATGTTGGACAATTTCAACAGGAAGATAAGAATATATAGGACTGGACAAGGTAATTGGGGTCCATCTGAATGTTCAAAAGAAAAAAAAACTAAACTCGTACCTCTCAATCTATATCCTGGTCAGCGAGCTAGCTAATTCTCTGTTGATTTTGCTAACACATTCTGCCTGCACCACTCTTCTTGGTAGTCTATTGCACATATTCATTGCTCCCTGGGGAAAGTGATGAAATCTGAACTCTCTGTCCCACCTTCTCTTCTAAGCTCAACTCCGTATCCCCGATCTAGATTTGTTAATGGTTGTTAGACACGTTTTCAGGGGTTATTTATCTATATCCTGTAGGATCTTGGGGACTTCAGTGTGAACATTTCCAGTTTCCACAGCCTGTCCTCAGAATTTAGGTCCCTGATTCTAGATATCAATTGGTGACCTTATCTGGTTCCCCTCCAATGTCAGGATATCCCTACTGTAATACAGTGACCTGATTTGTACACAGTACAAATTAACTATTCTGCCAAAAACACCAATTAAGTCTTAACTGTTCCTTTAACAAGCTCATTTTATGCATTATGTTTGTATTCAATATTTGTGTTTTGTCAACTGGCTATCTCTGAATCATCATCTGGGACTTTGAAGTTGCAGTATTCCTTGTATGTTGGTTCAAATGACTTTGTTAATATGTGACATTAATAGTTACAACCACAAGCCAAACTTTGTTGCCTTTGCAAATCATTCAAGGTTAACTGTGTAATGTATATTACACAGAAAAACAGATGACTGAGAGTGCTGCATGCTTACAGGCTTGGGATGAAATAATCTGTGAGAGGGAGCCTCAACTGTTTAATGAATGCAATCTGTACCCTGACCACAGTTTACCCTTGCAGCCTTGGCATCCACACGTTGTGGTCTGTTTATAAAAAAAATTCTACGGGCATGGTTTATTTTAATGTAATTGTGTAATATTTTGGGCTCATGCCCCTTTTAAAGGGTTGGGTTTCTGCTAATGGCTGACCATCGACCTTCGTGGGGGATGAAATTCATATTCTTTGTGATGTCAACACTCCGGGTATCGAGCAACAATTTACAGCTAACTATATTGCAAGAATTGTTCTGTGTGTGTGTGTGGGTGGGGGGGGGGGGGGGGGGGCTGATAAGTGTGATAGTTTGGGTGATATAGCCGTTAGATGCTGGACACTTATTTTGACAAGGCCGAGGCCC